ACTAACCAAAGAGAGAAGCAATCTAGAACTAAGGAGAATTTTTCTGATAGTTAGAACAATTAATCAGTGGAACATCCTGCCTCCAGAAGTTGTGAATGCTCCAACATTGAAAGTTTTTAAGAAAAGACTGGACAGCCATTTGTCTGAAATGGTATAGGGTTTCCTGCCTGAGCAGGAGGTTGGACTAGATGATATCCAAGGTCCCTTCCACTATCATCATCATCATCATCATCATCAGCATCAGCATCAGCATCAGCATCATCGTCGTCGTCGTCATCATCATCGTTATTATTATTATTATTATTATTATTATTATTATTATTATTATTATTATTATTATTATTATTATTATTATTATTATTATTATATGTTATTACTGCTTGGAGTGGTATGGGGATCCTAGTGCTTATAAAGTATCTTTTGATACTCATACAAAAGATTCAATAGAAGAGCAAAGTAATATTATTACTGTAATAGCTTGAGGCTGTGCACTAATGCCATCATAAGTCAGACTAAGAATAGGCTACTTAGCCATTATACTTTATATGCCATAGTGTTTCATTTTATTTTTAGAAGAAAGGGGGATTATTAAAATTATCCTCTTTTGATAATACCGTACTAGGAAACCCTGATTTTATAATCACAACTCTAATTAGTACTCTCAAGTTTTCAAAGATTCTTAACATCATTAGAACATTTACCCTGGGCAGATAATAGCAAGGATCAGCTGCTTTTTCAAGTTGAATCCAGATAAAAGGCCTCTTATAAGTATTCTGTGAGCAGGTTGGATTCTGAGACAGTATTGATTTACCGTACTTTGTCCTTGCTATCAGTCAATGGTAATTAGGTTAATATTGGTAAAGAGCCACTTAACAAAGTAATCAGACCCCTAGACTCTTCCAAAAGCACAATTTTCTAACAGGCTTACCTGTGGTTGTCGCCTGGCATGAATTAGTGCTTCTGTCTCAGATTAGATGTTCCATAGGAATTAATGTACCATCTTTAATTTTATACTAGCCAGTGGATGTTACTATTCAAAGATAGTAAAGGATTAAAAAATATTGTTTTAGAGAACTTTAAAAAGAGTGACCATTGCTGACAAGTCTAGGAGTTGAAAGGAGTTACTGGCAAGGACCCAGGTTGGGTAAGATTGCTATGTCATTGTGCCTTCAGAAAATGAAAGAGTTGTCATCCATAGTATGATAAACTGTTGGGAAAAGGAGCCTCAGATTAGAGAAAGCTCATTCAAAAGTATACACTAAAAGTACAAACAATTTCAATAAGGGGGAAAAAACTAACAGAGGAAGCCCAATGTGACTGTGCAAAAAGCTTAATGAGATCTGGTAACAAAAAGGAGACAAATAGGAAATGGAAAGAGGAGAAAAATAGTCTAGAATTGTAGAAATGGTGTTAGAAAGTCTAATGCTCAGAGTGAACTCGGGTTGGCAAAATAGGCTAATAGTAAGAAAGTCTTATTTGTAATAAAAGTTTGGAAATGTTCAAAATAAAAGGAAAAGAAAGGAGAGAACAAAGAAAATAAATAAATAAATAAATTTACCAGCAACTACTTAATGAATATCACAAAATGTTAGTAGACACTAAATAAAAAAACATAACTACTCAAGAGAAAGAGAAAGTTTAAAATGAATGAAAAAACATGGCTAGGGAATACCTATTCAGCCTGAATGAATTTAAATCTCTAGGGGCAAATTAACTGAATCTAGGGCACTAAAGGATTTCTAAGTATATGATTGTACCATTGAATATTATCATTTTAACAGAATTCAAAACAAAAACATTTTCCCATTGGGAGGATTCTTATAATTAATTCCAAAATCATATTTCAAAACTATCTTAGTCTATTTGTAATTTTCTAAGATCTAATTACCCTTTTGCTGTTAATTGAAAATATTTTTTAAGTTTAAACTTGTATTTAATTTTGTTTTCTCTAAGGATTGAAATTATCAGGCCAGGCCTAGAAAGACATAGATCAAGCCAATCAAAGTTCAGAATCTTGGCAGACTAAACCTTTAATATTAACCTATATATCCTGAGAAGTTCTAGGGCAGTGGTTCTCAACCTGTGGGTCGGGACCCCATTTGGGGTCGATCGACCATTTCATGGGGGTCGCCAAGCAAGGCTGTCCGCCATTTTTTTTGTCCGCCATTTTTTCCCCTTTTCCGGCGGGTGCCTTACCTCCCTTGAGCTGGGCCAGCTGGTGGTCGGCCTGCTCCGTCTCTGCTGCTTGCCAGCTACGCCTCGGCCGGCGCAGGGGGCGGAACCACGCATGTGCCGCGCTCCCGGGCAGGGAAAGTCCTCGACTTACGACCGGTTGGGTAGTCCTCGACTCACGACTGGTTTAGTCCTTGACTTATGACGGGTTTAGTCCTCGACTTACGACCGGTTGGGGTCGCGGCATTAAAAAGGTTGAGAACCACTGTTCTAGGGAGTGGCTATCCTAAGTCTTCTTTCTCCCATTCAGCTCCAGGTTGTATTGCTTCCTGTCTCAACCCCCTCCTTGGAATGTGCTCTCTCCTTCCTGGGAAACTATCATTTCACATCACACATACACACCCTACCGCCCAACCCGTAGGCTCCATCCCTCACAGAAACTCACCCAGTGCTATAAAACTTGACAATCCAAAGGTTTCTAATAGCTGAAAACCTGTTAACAAGAAATTCACTAAAATGATTGAAAAAGAAGTATGTGAAGCCTTTGTCCTTTTGAAGGCACCAACCATGGGTTGAGCAGAAAGATGGTTATTCTTTCATCTCCCAGAGCCCTAAACTTGCCAGAGATTACTGTCTTGCAGTCTTCTCAAAAGAACTAATTTTATGAAACACTTGTGGTTCATCTCAAGTGCTCGCCCAGATAGAAATTGCAAAGGTCTATTCAACAGCTTTTTATTTTGCAGTGATTGTCAACTCTGCTTTTAGCAGAGCTGTTCTCAGTTCACAATTTCTTCCCTGCAAGTCTTCTTCTTTGTCTGTCTCTGACACAATGCCTCTTATTATGCCTTGTTTTCCAAGGGTAAAATAGAACAGATTTCTTCAGTATAATGTTGTAAGCACACAAAACTGAGTGTAAACTTTGTATAAACTTTAAATGAATAATATAATACCGAATAAGACTTATGATCACAATTGGGACCAGGTTTTCTGTTGCTAAGCAAGGCAGTTATTAAGTGAGTCATGGTTGTTTTTACAATCATGCTTGCCATGAATGTTAAGTGAATCAGTGCAATTGTTAAGTGATTCATACAGTCATTAAGAGAATCCAGCTACCCCATCCATTTTGCTTGTTAGAAGCAGACCAGCAAGATTGTACATGGCAGTAAGGACCCCAGAATGTTAAAACCATGTTAAAACCATACATGCCATTTGCCAAGCTAGTTGCCACCCAAATTTTTATCAAATGATCATGGGGATGCTGCGATGGTTACAAGTGTGAAGACCAATTTTAAATCATTTTTGTCACTGTCGTAATTTCAAATAGTTGCTAAATGACTAGTTTAAATTAAGGACTATCTATAGCAGAAAGCAATAAGTACAAAATTAATTCTAAGATGAATAGTTGAATTATCTTGTATAGAATCTAAAAGTGTGCATTTTATTTTTTGTCTATTTAATTCTTTGGATTGATATAGGACAGGCATGTCAAACTCGCGACGTCACATGACGTCGCGCAACGTATCGGAGCTTTTTCTCCATTGCCGGCAATGGGGTGGGCATGGTTTTGGGATGATGTGTCCGGCCCGTGGGCCGGTAGTTTAACACCCCTGATATAAGAGAACCTTCCATTCAAAATGAAATTGGGTGCTTTAGAAGAGAAATTAAGATTATATGACTAAGAGGCCATTAATCTATTACAGATGATCATACAGATTTTGTTTGGCATTTTGGCCAATAAGAGCTGAGGTGAATAATTGTACCATGAACAATGGTTACAATCTGTTAAATCAAACAGGTTTATATTATCACTTCTTATCACCATACCTATTTTAAATATACAACATTTAGAATGATGGGCTGGGATTCCTCTTTTTTTTAGAATCCCTCTGGGCTGAGATTCCTCTTTTTTTTGTTCCTTGAGTCTGAAAGCATAAGTTTCCTGTTGACATACAGCACATTGAATTAACTATCATCAGGAAGAGAAAAACACAATAGCAAAGAAAGCCATAAAAAACAGAAACACATATTCACTTTCCATTTTTCTCTTCAATTTGTACATTTATGGTGATGTCTGTTGCTTCAAACTTATTGGGCAATATAAAACTACAATCCAGCCACACTACATGTCCAATTGAACATATTCAAGACTTACACTCATACCTGTAAATTTTGGAGGAACTTATAATCATATTGTCTCTTTATCTGCCATTCAAGCATAGATGCTAATGCTGATGGCCACAGTCCCATTTTTCCCCATATATTGATTGAGGATGTAAAGAGAAGCTGAGAAGAGGGCCATTCATTTATGTTCACACCACAGTTACTTGGTTTGAATGCTCATGTATTACCTTTTCTTTGTCTACAAATATGTCACATTCCCTGTTTATCTCAAAATATTATTGCCTTATGTCAATTTAACTCATTCTCTCATCACCATTAGAGCATTCTAAGGTGGACAAATGTGACAAGTCTATCATATCTTATTAGAGTTTGTGTGCCTGTTGCTGATTAAACTGCGACCTACAATGAGAGTGGTTCCCATTATTGATCTCAGCCATTACTTCAAGGTCTTCACACTTTCTTTTCAATAGTATAATGTGTTTGCCATTTGTGCTTTGCTTAGCACTCAACTTTACAGCTTGCAATAATTATATCTAATTCTGACTTTCTCTTCTGTTAAATTACTGCACAGCAAAAAAAAAAGTCTCCAAAATTAGCTCATTCATCAGACGAGAGCATCAGCCATACTATTATGGATGAACAATGTGCATATATATAATAGCATTTTTTTCTTATTGTAGAACTCACTATGGATTTTACATTTTCAGAATTGTGTGTGAAATGGGGCAAGCTGAGCCTGACATTAGCTCCGGTCCTGCACTCCTCTGTATTGGAGAATGCAAATCAGAATTTGTGGCCAAGTCTGCACAACATTATACATTCGTGGTAAGTACCCTACAAGCCATTTTTGTTACTTGATTGATAAACATAGACCAAGTACTGTAAGCAGTACCCAAAATAGCCCTTTCTTGTCCTACCAAATAAAAAAGAGTGGCAGGGTCTAGAGTAGTTAAAATGCTGTTTATTAATATGTTCAAATGGTAGCAAATCTTTAGCTTATGTCCAATATGGCATTTTATATGCCCGATGTCATAATATGGCTTACCACTTTAAGTCAATTATCTTCAGCTCTTTTTCAGTAATCATAATGAAAATTTATCCAAGGATGAATAACTGCAGATGTCTCACCTCAAAGCCAGGGCCCTAGGAAGAAAAGTAAAATATAAATCAAATTCATTAATTGTAATGAATAAATGAGAAAATAAAATAAATTGTCCGGATCTTATGAGTTCCTCCCCTCTTCCCTTTTTGACATCAAGTCATTGTGCAAGAGTGAAGCTATTCTATTCAAATAATAATAATTGGAGCCAATGGTATGTGAGGGTTTTTTCCCCCTCAATTCTGAGTTATGGCATAATTATTTGCCAGTGGCTACCTTAGCTTGTCTTTAAATTCTGCTTGCACTGGCTGATCTAATTCATGGACCACAGTCCTATACTGATATACAACTCTTACATTGTTTGACTAGACCTTTTTAAAAATTTCTTGGCTCATAAAATCATGACACATTCTCACCTGGGAGAAAGTGCTTTTTAGCACTAAATGCTTTGACAAACTGTGGCTTTAACTGTGATGAATTTTTAGATCTTCTGTGATATACTAGATAGTGCAACATTTTTGAGATCATCTGTGTTATCCTTCTGTTTCAAACTAATAATGTGAACCTTTATTACTATGGAACTTAATTAGCTGGAATTAATCTATGAAACTGCCACCTTCCATTATATTATGTATACATTAGAGCACTATGGAATAATTTTATTTGACTATTAAAAACAAACTCTTTGCCCCTCTCTCCTTCCCCACCCACTGTCCTATTTTCTTTTTTATCATCCATCTTTCCTTAATGTGAAAGTATTTTTCCCATTTAAATAGCAAATTGATGCTAATTCAATACAGCTTCCATTAGTGTGCTTAATCTAGAGTTTCTTTTTGTGGTTTTCCATTCCTGGAGCAATCATTGTGCTCTTCTATTATTTAATTATGAACCTTTTTATTCATTTTCTTGAAAGTCACACCTGGAGCTTTTCTTCATTTCCATTTTGGCCCAAAAAAGGCTATTTGGCCTCACTGATTTTGTGCTAACTACTTGTTAGCAATGGCTAACTGTCCACAATTTGTAAAGGAAGCAATAGATAAATTGAATTGCACCTCTTGTCTCATTACTTTGTACTAGAATGGAAACTTATTGTAGTAATGGTAAATGTTGCTAAACAGTAATACTGTGCAAGAGGGAGTCCCCTTTTTAGGGTTACTAAACATTGTTTAGTAAACATTTATCTGTTTGTCTCTGTACCTGCTTTGGTATTTATAACCATTTATCTATCAAACTGTTCTGTTTCATTTCAAAACTATGCAAAGCAACATTACACTGTACTTAAAAAAACAAGGATCAAAAATCTATTAATGATTATAATTATGGACTAGGGAGAATATTTTTGTAAGTATTTGTTTCGGAAAGTAAAGGAACACTTGCTTGACCCTCATTGTGCCACTGGAGGCAGATATATATGTGTCTGTGTCAACTAGAGTTCAAGATGAGCACTGAGCAAGTGAGGGAATTTTAGCTAAGCTAAATGAGTTAAAGTCTCCTAAGCCACATGAATTATACATAAGATATTGGAGGAATCAGCAGAGGTAATTGCAGAATTGCACTTTTGTAATATTTGAAAAGTCCTGAAGAGCAGGCAAGGTCTCAGAAGGCATGGGGTTTCCTCCTCCCCATTTTAAAAAAAAAGATTAAACAGGACCCAAGAAATTGGAGGCTTGTGAGCCTGATATTGGCACTGGGCAAGGTCCTTAAGCATATTTTATTTATTTATTTATTAATTGTATTTATATCCCGCCCTTCTCCTTTCGGACTCAGGGCGGCTTTTTTTTCATCCCCTTTAATAAAACACGGAAGAGTGTGAGTGTAACAACGGAAGCAGGAAAAAATATATAATAATAAACAAACCAAGTGAGCGAGACGGGCAGCAGGGACGGTCACCATTTACAAGCACAGACGAGGCTGCCCGGCGAGGGGGGTGGTGGGAAAACACGGGCGAGATGGGGAACGCCAGGGGTGGGGGGGGCGAGGGGCAGCGGAGGGAGGGGAGGGGAAGGGAGAGAGAGAGAGAGAGAGAGCAAGAAGGCAGGAAGGGGGGGGGAGCTGGCTGGCCAGCCCCCTGCCTCGCTCCCACCCCCTCTATTTATACAGGATGTCATAGTGTCCCGGTCTGTACAGTATATTACCAAACAGCTTGTCTATGAGCACTTAGCTAGGAATTAATTAAGAGGATCCAACTGGATGTATGCCAAACAGATCATGCCAAGCCAATGTGATATCTTTTATGATAGAATTACTAACCTGGTTGATTTGGAAAATGCCATGAATCTAGCATATCTTGATTTCAGCAAAGCTTTTGACAAAGTCTCTTATATCATCCTTGTTAACAAAATGGTCAAATATGGATTTGAGAACTGAAATATCAGGTAGATCCACAGTTCAAGGGCTGTACTCAAAGTGCAGTTATAAATGGCATTGAATTTACCTGGAGAGACATGGTGAGTGCGGTGCGAGAGGGCTCTGCCCTGGCCCAGTGCTGTTTTTATGAATGAGGGGGTTTGGGTGAATGCTTACCAAATTTGCAGATGATACAAAGCTAGGAGGAATGATTAATATTTGGAAGGGGGAATCAAAAAAGTCTTAGGCTAGAACAATGGATGGAAACAAATGGAGCAAAATTTAACAGGGAGAAATGTAAAGCCATGTAGAAATGAGCGAAATCTGCCACAAGAGCAAAACATATGAGAAGGTCCTGGGTATTAGTAAATCTTAAATTCAACATATGCAAAGAAGACCAATGACATCTTACACAGTATTTAAAAGAGCAACAAGAGCAAAGAGCAGACTATGGGATATGATTCCTACTCCACTTTAGTCAGGCCTCACTTAGATATAGAATTCAGTTCTACACAGCCAGTTTGAAAAAGACGCTGATGAACTGGAACAAGTCTAGAGAAGCGTTACCAAGATGGTGAGAGAACTGGAACTAAATCCTACAAAGAATGATTAAAAGACTTAGGAATGTTTAGCTTGCAAAAGAAAAGATTGACGTGGAACACGATAGCTGCCTTTACATATCTGAAAGGCAGTCGCATTGTAAAAGATTTGGACATTCTCCCTTGCTCCAGAGGGTAAGATAAAACTAATGGGACAAACTTCAAGGATGTAGGGATAGATTAGGATATTAGGAGTAATTTAACTTAAGTAAGTTTGTTCAGAAAGGAAAACAGTTACCACATGGAGGGGTTTCTTCCCCTTTACTGGAGTTTTTCAAACAGAAAACTGGATAGTCATCTATGGGAGATGCTGTACTGAATCCTGCACTGCATAGCGGGTTGAACTTAAATGACCTCTTAAGGTACCTTTCAACTCTATATTCTATAAGTATAACATCTCTCTATATTACTTGATAAATAAATGCTTTTGGACCATTACTGATGGGTTTGAGCAAACACTCCATTTTAAGCAAGAGGGTTAACTTGATATATTTATATATTTATCAATGATACTATTAATACATTTTCCTCTGTAGCAAAAAAATTGGCCTAATATAAAAGAAAGCATAAAAGAGGCAAACAGTAATGAATGGGCAAAATGAATCTGGGTTAGCGGATAAAAGGATTTGCTTGCAAGCGAAACGTTCTTGAAAATATATATATTAAAAAGAGAAGGGAATTAATTCAATCCATTTAGTGTTATATTAAATAATGGCAATGGTGGCAAAGGTCAGAGACAATTGCTTTCTAGAAAAGGAAGAAAGTCTTCCTGTGGGCTTTTAGGTGGAGTCACCAAAAGACTGGAGGTATGAGATTCTGCACATGTAGACTGTAAATTTTAGTTTGACAAGCAACATCAGAGCTGCCTAGATGCCAAAAATTTTTACATCACAGGATATTCTGTTTCTATGCTCACCGACAAATGGTTTCTAATTGATTTTTAAATCTGTTCCCAAACATTCAATCAATCAATCAATCAATCAATGTATACCTTAGCTGGTGGGTACTCAGTGCTATTTTCATTTTTAAAAAAAACAGTGTGCGGAAAACAATGGTCTTAGGCTACATTAAGTGATAACCAGTGCCTGAATGAAAAATTGAAGCACCATACAGCAATATGTTAAGCATACATGAAAGGTAATCATATTTTCCATTGCTGTCTTTTTATGAGCTGCTTGCTTGTTTTAACCTCTTCTTTGTTACAACCACAAATTTTTATTAATGTTAGTACTGCTGAAAAACTTCTGCATCTGAGAAGTTTCCTAGATTTCACCTTAGCATTGCCCCTATTACCTAATGGCAGACTGATTTCACTGGAACATTTTGCAGCTGCTAGACCCTTTTTCAGGCATTGTAAGAAGTGGTGAAAGGGGTCATGGAAAGGTGTCCTGGAAAGGATTCCTGGGAGAGTGGCATGGATATTCCCACATCTCTCCCTTTCCAGATACAAGGCCAACACCTGCAGAAAAGACCTTTCTCTGTCCTGGAAGCCTGTCCTTGCAACTGAACTAAACACATACAAAATTTAGCGCCCCCCCCCCCAAATAATAAATTTAGATGCAATAAAACTCCAGGCTGAGTCTAACACAAGCTTGCTGCTTTGGAAAGAGTTTCTGAAGGAGGCACCTTATGTGGCCTTGCAATTGATCTGCTCTGAATCAGACATTTGTCCGAAATGGTATAGGGTTACCTGCCTGAGCAGGGGGTTGGACTTGATGACCTCCAAGGTCCCTTCCAACTTTATTATTATTAATATTATTATTATTATTATTATTATTATT